AGCGAGTGTACGCCAGTCAATATTTACTTTGTGTTGATGCATAGTACTGTGAAAGATCTTAATTTGGAAGTTGGTTCTATCAAAGAACTGTGGAAAGCTGGCTTCCAAATTAAGTTCGTAAGGAATTTCTGGCCTTGTATGTTTTTCCTCAAAATTTATCCTTATCATCCCAAGACCATGCATTTGGTGATTTATTTAGATATTTCAGATTGAATGGTTAAATAGGCTGACGTACAAATATTGCAGGATACTCAATTTACATGTAATCTGCAGTCTTGGCAAATGTTATCCCTGAAGTGTATACTAATTAAAATGCTCACACCCAATGCCATTGCAGAATAAATTAGAATATTTTGCTATGAGGAATAAATGTAACTTTTATCTCCTCTGCAATGAGTGAATCTTGGATAAGTTGTGAAGCAACATGAGGGCCAAAAGTAATTTAAAAAATTCGATAGGCCATTCTACCATGTTCCCAGGCCACGGACTTTCATACTGTGTAAACAAGGCACACAGAGGAAAGGGAGGAACAACATATAGGTTTTATGGCTCAGTGCTGTGTAACTTGTGGAGACTGTTTGTACAGTATGAAATTAAAGAGCATTAAAAATGATGATATAGATTATACAATGATGGTCAGCGTTATGTAATTTCATGACTGTACTTTTTACTGTAAAAGCTTGGCACTGTATTGCTGCATTAGTCAGCTCAGGTTTCTATGTCATAAAGTCATGGATGACAGTGCAACTTGTACATTAGCAAAGTGGGCACTTTTACAGGGACGGAACCAAAGACATTTTAGAATTCCTTCTTCAACTGCTTCAGAAGCTCATAAACAAGAGTTTTAAAAAACAAACCATTAGATTGCAGATTGAAGTATTGCAATCGATGTTACTACATTTTGTCGAGATGCAACCATGCTGCATTGCTTACTGATGTGAATTAAAAATGAATATGCTTTGATTTGCTAAGTAAAGATTTCCCAGCTGTGCCATTTAGTTTTATGGACTTTATATTTTCGTCTTTAATGTAACAAGACAAGCTGCAGTCTATCATAAGGCCTGTTTCTGAAGTTGCCTCTCCCATTCGCTTTGGCCATTTCTTTGTTTAAGAATAAAGCATTTTTCCATAAATTTTGTACCAATTGACAACATCAAGCGCTTCAAGGTCAGGTAAAGCAGTTCAAGTGTCAAGATGAAGTTCCCTCCATACTATCACAATGACATGCCTCAACTCTAGGCTTACAAGAGAATCTTCAACTGCACCAGTGTGACAATTTAATATGCTATACTGGTCTTCCTTGTGGCTCAGTGATGCTCTCAATCAGCAGCAAATAATTGTATTTGGATTCAAGCCGAAAAGTAATTGAATGGAGACTGCCAAACTCCTTTAAAGGGTAAGTATTACGCAACTGAGTTGCTCCACAGATTGCAAATGTTTACCTGTGCACACTTCACAGTATTGTATTCTGTGAAGTATTTTGAGACATCTTGAAGATGAAATAAGGCGCTATATCAAATGCAAGGATTATTATTGTCAGTTGTCCATTTTATGCTTTAAGTGGTTAGAAGGAACATAGGGGCAAACATTTTGTGTAGCACGGATCCTGTTGTGACAGTCCACTCCAGTAAAATCATGAAAATAATAATAATCCTTGTATTTGATATAGCGCTTATCAAATCTTTGAGACATCTCAAAGCATTTCACAGAATATACTGTAAAGTGAATTGACTATATATTTTGTTGGCGAAACTCGGCAGCCAATTGCACACAGCAGCATCCCACAAACAGTCGTGAAGTGAGTGACAACATTATTTTTTTAAGGGATTATTGTCACAAAAAGCGATCAGCCAATCGACTAACAACTGGGTTCCGACTTACTGATAGGTGAACAAAGGCGTGTGGAGTAAGAAAACTTTCCCAACATGCTCTAACCACTAAGCTACAGGACTCCACAAAAGTGTAAATAATGCGGGCAGGGCGGTGAGAAGTACTTCGTTCAAGTGGCCCATGAATGAATTTCCCTGTAGGGAACTTTAGTATCTCTGCTCAGTGTTCCCATCTGGAACAGATGGGATCAGTCACTTATGTGAGAAATCACAAATACAAACCACATCTCAATACTCGGGTATTGCTCTGCAGAGCACTTAGTGCACTTCAATGGGATTTCTTATTTTAAGTAACATCATTTCCTTTTGTGTGCCTTACACTGTCCTTCAGATCCAACATTCAGTGCAGCACTGCACACTCCATTTTGTTTAAAGATGCATTCATTTTACACTTCACATTTAGTTTTTGGAAAACTGTGGTGACAGGTGTGAACTCATATATCACTGAGGTCCAAAGCTTCACCAAGTCTTAGCCTGTAAGACCATTTTGTCTTAAAGCTCCGTAGTTAGTGCATTCGCCTCGCAAGCGAGAGGACCCAGTTTTGATTCCTGGGCGGGGTGAAACCTCAGACATGTTTCCTTATTCCACGTGTCTCTGTTTACTCAGCAGTAAGTAGGAACCTGAATTTTTACAGTCTTAAATTTTTAGTCCAAAATGTCTTACAGGCTGAGACTAGATGAAATTTAGGACCTCTGGTTACTAATGTTCATGTAATCATTACTTGCATAATACATGGTTAAAATATTATTTTAAGAATTGTAGTTGTACTGAGAATTCTGAGTCTTGTGGAAGCTGATATGAATGATCTGTCACATTACAGTAATTGCCTGACTAACTGCAACTTCACTCCATTTTGATACATTTCAGCTCACTGCAGTATCATTGGATCAATTCAGTCCCACCCTTTTTATTTAGTGGAGATAAATATTGATTATTCTAATAGACTCATGACTCCAACCCCGGTTAAGTCATTAATGTTCCAATATATAGTGGAACAAGACCTTGATCTCTCCAGGTTGATTGCTTTCAGAGTCTAGTGCCAGCCTTGGCAGACTGGAGTGAACAGCTGATTTTCAGCTTGCTTGTTCGTTCACAGAAAATATCAAGAAAGCTGGAATGACGTTAATCTTAAAACTCAAAGCATCTGTTCATTTTTACGTACAATATTATGCAGTGCTGTCTTGTCGAGTGCACAGATAGTAGAAGTGAAGCAAACAGAACATAGTCAAAAGAAATGTCTGGGCACAAATGCAAAATTATTATTTTTCATATTGATTTTTCTATTGCAGTAAGTAAGTGACAAGTTAATAAAAATGACTGACAGCTATAAAATACATTGGTTGTTGAGATTTCCTCTCAGTTTTCCCTCCCTGAACCTCCTTATGTCTCTATTAGTAACTCATAATTAAGATCCCACTTCCAACACAGCCAAAAGTCAAATTCAAAGAGATAATCCTTTAATTGAGCATGTGACCAGGATAGAAATTTTGTGTTGGTTCCAAACTCAAGAAGGAATATTTGATAAAGACATTGAATTATGAACAGTTGGGAAAGAGCAATAAGGCTGTCACTTTTTTTAAATCAAGGATTTAGATGGCATTATGAAGTCACAAAACAGAAGAATAAAGCACAGGATGTTATATAATAATAATCCTTGGATTTGATATAGCGCTGTATCACATCATTGAGACATCTCAAAGCGCTTCACAGAATTTATTGTAAAGTAGTTTTGACTACTATATTTTGTGAGCGAAACACACCAGCCAATTGCATATAGCAGTGTCCTACAGTCATGAATTGAGCAACCAATTTTTTTTCCAAGGGATTATTACCCCCGGAAAGTGATCTGCTAGTTGACTGACAACCAGGTTCCTACTTACTGTTGAATAAACAGCAGTGTGTGGAGTAAGGAAACTTGCCTAAGATTTTGCGCTATCGGAATTAAACACAGCTCATCTTGCATTTGAAGTGAACACGCTAACTATTACGCTACGAGACTCCACTCCAGGTTTATGGATACCATCAATGTTTTTTCATGTATTAGATGCGTTTCACTTTGCCTATCTCAGCTTCTTCACTTTGTCTCCCTCCAATGCCTTCTCCTGCTCACATGCAGCATTCCTCAGGGCTCTGACCTGGTTCCTCTCCTCTTCACCTTCTAAATGCGATCCTTGGTGACATCATCCGCAGGCATCCACTTCTGCACATACACAAATGACATCCAACTCTATCTCCATGCCCTCTACCCTCAATTCCAGGACCCCTGCAGACGTAACTAATTCTCTGTCAGGCATCAAGTATTGGATTAGTTCAAACATTCTGCAGCTCATTGTCAATAAGCCTTCTCACCTCAGGTGCATCAACCTGCACACTCAGGTGCTCACTCCACTTCACAGAGCAGGTGCAGAAACGTGGTGTATTGTTTAATTTCTAACTATTGTATCCTAACATATGGGCTCTCACTAGTTCAGCCTTCACTCACCTCCGCAATATCGCCTACACCGATGGTTGAGTTAACCTGTGCCAGCTTCATTGCATAATACTGTGCAGTGTGACTGTGTGGTATTCCTTGCAACCGTGGTGTCCATGGTGAGGGATGAATAGGCAGCAACAGCAGCTGTGATGTTGCTCCCTTTGCTATTGCAGACCCTCTCATTCAGTTGGAGTACGCTCAAGAGAAGGGACTATGAAGAATGTGATGACTGGTAATACTTCTCTCTGGAACCCACCTTGGCAACAATTTTAGTGTGTTCAGCAAACATAGCAATAATGCTATCAGTGCTGCTTTTGCCCACAAAAACAGTCAACAGTTGACAATAATTAATGTAGTTTCAAATGCTTTTCTGCATGATCAATACAATTTATATAGCACTTTTCACATCAGTAGGACATTTCAAAGCGCATATCACTGCTGACTGGGAATCTGAGCTGGGGGAACCTGAACTGAGGGGGAAGAGTGTGGTCACAGAGGTACCTCTTCATACAGACCTTGAATGAGGTGAGGTGAGCGGGAGGGAGCAAAGGTGACAGAGTGACAATGATAAAGTGCTATAAAGCAAGTCGAATTAGCTGAATAACCTTTCACACACATTTTCCCTTTATGCCCATAGGTCCTTTCAAAATGTCAATGTACTCGAAGCTTCTGTCAGAGGTTATTCATATCCTGGACAATTTTAATCCTGACAATTACAGTACTGATCACTTCTTAATGGATACGATTTTGGAGAAGCAAAAGGTAAGAGGATAATGGTTAGAAATTAAAATATTCACTTTGAACTAATGTTTACCAGGTTGCTACATTTCAGTTTGGCTCAGTTGGTACAACAACAACAACTTTGATTTATATAGCGCCCTCCATGCCGGACGGCGTCTCAGAGCGCTTTACAGTAACAGATCCCGGGGCCGAGCCAGGTGGAGGGGGAGGAAGGTGACCAAAGCTGCGGTCGGAAAGAAAGGTCTTCAGCAGAGACCTGAAAATGGGAAGGGAGGGAGCGAGACGAATGAAGAAGGCAGTTCCAGAGCCTCGGGGCATAGTGCCTGAAGGCACAGCCGCCGAGAGTGGAGCGGAGGTACCACAATTGCCTCTAATTTAAAGTCTGTGGGTTGAAGCACATAATACCTAATTTTATAGTCCAGTCCCAAAAGTGGCCTAAAATTGGCATGCAGTGCTCAAGAACTGGCCTGCTGAACACCCGCACTAGTCCACAACAAATCATTACCTCGTTTTCAATAGCTACCGAGCCACGATACCCATGGCACGGCCATAAATGAGGATAAATTGAATAAAGTAAAATGTGTATGGTTGGCCACCACTGGTCTAGATTAACATTCTAGTACAGTATTCTGATATAGGTGCATTTTTACATAAACAAAGGTCCCGTGTGCCTTCACAGGTGGATGTTAAAGATCCCATGAATCAGTTTCAAAAGAGAAGGAAGTTTCTCCCAGTGTCATGGACAACATTAATTGGTCATTCACCTCACAGCTGTTTATGGGAGCTTGCTGGCACAAATGGTTGTTTTTTTCCTTGCAAAAACAGTCACTTGATCTTCATGAGTTGTGAAATGCTTTGAGATGAGTCAATATGATAAGGAATTACAGAATTGTAAGTTGTTTTTTCACATGGGTATTTTCAAAAAATAAAGAGTGTGTAAGCCATTGACCCAGTGGGTAAGGGTGAAGCACTGAATCTTTTACGTATACGGTTGCCTACACAAAATGCATAGTCACTACATTTTACAATAAATCCTGTCAAGCTCTTTGGGATGTCCTACCAACAAGAAAGGAGCTGTATCAAAAACATGCAAGGATTTTTAAAATCTCATTTCCAGACGCAGATTTTGTCCAAAGTCATACAGTTTACTTTATTCTCTTAAAACACCCACTGTCACACACAAAATTGCCATCTGCATTAAGTAATAATAATCCTTGCATTTTATACAATGCTCTATCACATCTCAAGGCGCTTCACTGTAAAATGTAGTGACTACATGCAGACAAATGTGGTAGCTAATTTGTATACAGCAACAAACAGCCATAAAGTGATTAACCAATTTTATCCTGGGGATTGTTTGTCAGAACACCGGGTGATCTTTAAAGTCCACCTGAACAGGCATATGGGATCTTGGTTTAACATCTTAAAGGCGCTGAACAGTTGGGTCAGGACCCGAGCAGGGGGGAAATGGTCAGGGTGAGGGGAGGGAAGGGAGGGAGCGAGGAGGGGTTAGAGAGTCGAGAGGGGAGCTGAAGGCACGATTGAAGAGAAAGGTCTTGAGACCGGCCTTGAAGGAGGAAAGGGAGGAGGCGGCGAAGGCACTGGGGGATGGAGTTCCAGAGCCTCGGGGCTGAGAGGCTGAAGGCCCGGCCACCGATGGTAGGGCGGTTGGGGCGGGGGATGTGGAGCAGACCGGAGCCGGAGGAACGGAGGGTACGGGCAGGTAGGTAGGGGGATAGTAGGTCGGAGAGGTAGGAGGGAGCGAGGCCGTGAATGGCCTTGTAGATGAGGATCTTGAATTCAATCCTCTGGGGGATGAGGAGCCAGTGGAGGCGAGCGAGGGTGGGAGTCATGTGGTTGCGAAGTGGAGACTTTGGGAATAAAATATTTATAAGTTGAACTTGTCTAGATTTCAATTCAATCGTTTTTCCTCTATGCATGCAAATGATTGTGAGGAATTCTAATTGGAGAATCATGGTGTACTGAGTAATTTCAATGTTTATTTCCCTTTGAACCTTTTTTGATGCATCAGTAACTCAATAAAAGATCATTTGTCACTTCAATCAGATAATGTCAATAGCCACAAATGCTGCATTAAAATGTGCAACATATGGTATAAGCAATAACTAGGAGGGAGTTACTGGACAGGAACAGAATCAACAGATTCAGATAACAATATAAACAGTTTACGCCATTGATCTTAGAGGTTGTTTAAGCTGGTTCTGAATTTATTTTGCTATTTAATATGATACTCATGTACTGCTTTTTCATTAATTAATCTGGGAAATTAAGGGCACAATCAAAAGAGAGGCAACAATGACAGCACAACTGTGACAGTGTGTTAGATCACGGAAATGAGGAGGGGTTTCAGGTAAAAAGAATCCTCTACCTTCATGTTTTTGTCTGCATTGTCCTAAATCACATTGGATCTGGATCATTGGAGTCCTGTAGCATATTGGTTAGAGCATTCACCTCGCAACCGAGAGTAACTGGGTTTGATACCTTAAGCAAGTTTCCTTACCCCATAAGCCGAGATAGCTGTAGGTAAAGGATATGGGTTGGGTCAGAGCAGCCACAAAAAGGAATGAAGTATGTATGTAGAAAACACGAAACCAGAGATTTTTAAGACTCAGGTGATGAGTACTCAAAAGAGAGAAGCAGGTTAACCTTCGTAAAAATAACTGCAACTACAGTAATTTCAGACATTAACCAATTATCCACAAGAAAATACAGTCAGCAAAATCCAGCATCCATCAATTTGCATTTTATATAACTGTGTAAGAACCCCTCAGAGATGCCCATTTTTAAGGCTAAACAGCAATAGTTTATGGGACACTGTTTGTGGGACACTACTGTGCACAATTTGGCTGACGCATTTCATCCACAAATTTACAGTCAATTCACTTTACAGTACATTCTGTGAAGCGCTTTGAGACGTCTAGAAGCCATGAAAAGCGCTATATCAAATGCAAGGATTATTATTAACACGTTGTTTGTAACAATAGGGATAAACTTAATTGCTCTCCTCCGTAATGCCTCTAATTTGGTATTGTCGTTGAGGATAGGTTAGAGTTAAAAGCTGTACCATAATTGAAGCAGTGAAATTATGGCTGTACCATAATTTACGCATGAATCAAATGTTGATCTGCATTATTTGGATAGATGTAAGATAATGCATATTTGAACAACAAATGTATTCTGGCAGCTGTTGCCAGAACTAGAGAAGGAACAGAATTGAAATGTGATTATTGATTATTCACTGAAAGTTTCCAATCAACATTAAGTTTTGTTGTATGTTATATTTCCTGGGGCCTGTCCTGAAATCTGTCCTTGGAATTCTAATACTGTGTTCTCTTGTTCCACTGTCTTGATGCATCTGAAAGTATTGTTCGGTGTTTACGTGAAGTTAATTTATAATTTAATATTCCATTATAAGGTCTCCTTTGAGATGTCTTCTTTCATGACAGAAGAACCCTAGCTTGTTCAATTGTTTCTCATAGCTCATTCATCTAACATTGTGGATCATCCTCATTGTTCTCATCTGCACTGCCTCTTGGGCCTGAGCTCTTGTCCTTCCTCACCCCCCCCCCCCCCCACCCATTCCTTACTCCCTCCCATACCCTTCTATTCCCCTCTCCCTTGTGTAAAGGTCTAGCTTCCTCTTGAATGCATCTGCTTTATCTGATTAAACCACCACTTCAGGAGTGAGTTCACAATCTCACTGGCCTCTGTGTGAAGTTTTTAATTTGTTATTGTGCACACGTGCCATTTAGTGTCTTGCCCAGACACTGGGAGAAACTTCCTTCTCTTTTCAAATAGTGGAATGCAATCCTGAAGAGGCAGATAGGGCCTCAGTTTAACGTCCAATTTAAACAACAGCGTCTCCAACCATGCAGCACATCCCCAGGACTCTATTGAAGTGTCAGCTTAGACTATATGAGTTCTATGTCATGACATGGGGCTTGAACCAACAACCTTTTGCCTCAGAGGCGAGAGTGCTACCAACTGAGCCAGACTGAAATATTTATAATTTTCGGTTGCAATATTTTCTTCTCCGATTGTTTACAAATCAATTCTACTCTTCCTGCAGACTCGAGATGAAGCTGAAAAGGTATTCTTAGTGGAAGTTCTGACAGGTTGTATTAATTACAGACCACTACTGGATATAGTAGTTGGTACATTTTTCAAGCTAGATGGAAGGATATACATGTTTTCTGAACGTAACCTTTTTGCAGGTAAGGGATATTTATATAAGGTAACATATTTGTTAATATGATAATCACAAAAAATAAATTCAGTTTCAGAATTGAAATCATACAGTCTTTGTTAAACCCAACTTAACATGTTACAGCAGCCTTCCATATCTAAAGATAAATAATAACCTATATTTGATATAGCACCTTTCATGTCAGGAGGACGTCTCAAAGTGCTTCACTGGATATACTGTAAAGAATTGTGACCGTGTATTTGTATGCATTAAGTGCTGATCAGACAACCAAAATGTCAAAACATTTCTAATTAAGTAAAAATATTTCAAAAAATTTTTCAAATGAAAAAAAAATAGCTTTCAAATTAAGTCTGAATTGAAGACTTTTTCAATGTTTAATTTTAAGACGGGATGGTTTTGTAAGCTAAGACAAGGTAGAATTTCAAGTTCCTGGAATCCTCCTTTGCTCCACTATCTAGTCTTTATTTATCCTGTTTGTTGGTAAGTTTGCTAACTTCTGACTACCAGTTTGGATACATCCAAGTTCTGCATACAATATCTCCTTGTACTTCTACAGCGCAATCTTGCACAACTCTTGCAATGTTACTCTTACACTGTTATCCTTCTGTAAACAAATCTTACAATGCTAACAGCACACTACACAATCTACTCGATCGCCGCTCCCATATCTTCCGCAATAGATAAGTTAAACCGAAAAGCTCAAAATTAAATACTTCAAAAAAGTGTTTTCTCTTTATATCTTATAATCAACTATTGTTCACAAAAGAGTGAAGTCAAATCTCAATTAAAAATACACACAACATGCTTTAACTATTGGAAAGTTAGCGCATTTTGGTGTCTGTCTACCTATTGAAATTAGTGAATGATCATTGCCCTTTACTACCTTTCCTAGCAATGAATAAGCTGCTATTTTTAGCAATCAAGGTAAAATGTCCCCCAATTTGTTAGTGTAGATAAACAGTCTCCGGAATTTGGCTTTCAGAGAATGGAGAAGAAACTTTGGTGATCTGATATGAATCTGACTTGAATTTTTTCTGTGAAGCCCTTTGAGATGTGTTAATGGCATGATAAGGTTCTATGTCAAATGCAAGTATTATAAGGATTATTATATAGACCCTTAGTTTATTGCTATAATCACAGTTCCAACACCTTTCTTCAAGTAAGAATGCAGAAGAGTCTAAACAGGATTCTTTAGTTAAAAAATCTAAGTGAAGACTCTTTCCCCCCAACTACTGACTCGTGGATTCTCCATTCAAAAATTAGGTAGTATTAGAGGGAGTTCCTTCGAGTGAGCATGATACCACCATAAAGAAATTTGGGTCCAATTTGCTCCTTTTGCAAAAATAAATTATACATATTCTTACGTTCAGGAATAATCATCTCTAACAATGAAATATCCTCCCACCTTTACCTTAATGTTCAAACATAGTGGAGTGAAATTGCCAGAGTTTCACAATGCATTCCTTATGATAATTATGTGACTGTTTTGTGTGTGTGTCCGTCTGTGTGTGGTGGAGGTGCAGTTTCTTATAACATTGTGCATGCTCTGATCTGTTTGATTTAGTGCTCTGCTATCTTGCCACCTTTCGAATTGAAGAACTTGGCCTAAATCACTTCAGCAAGTTTGTTAACTCTCAAGAGCCAAACAAAATGTACAAAGTAAGCCTGACATTTATTCATGTCTACGTGCACAATTGGAAGTATTTTCTTAAAAACGTTATTGATAACTCATTTTTATAAGAATGATGTTTCCATAGTTCCTCAGGTTCTTCTTTGATCCCCTGAACCTCAAAACATGGATAACGGCTGAGTGGTGTAAAGTATATGAACCAGAATATGTAAAAATACAGTTGATTGAACCACTGATAAGGTAAATTAGAAAAACAATAACAGGATTTTTCTTTCATTATTTGTTAAGTGTACGTTCTCTTTACTGAAATGGAATTAGTGAGAGTGTCATAACCAGTATTGCGAAAGGAACAGAAATGCCACGTTCTCAATACTTTTCCCTTCTCTCCCATCAATGGACTGCTGAAAACATGCTCTAGCAGTGATCTATGTTGTGGCCTCTGTTGTTTTCTATGTTTATTATCATTTGGAAATAGTCATAGGGGAACCATTTGAAAGTTTGTTAATTAATATTACCAGATTAGGTAGTAACCCAAGGCTCCTGTTCTGCACCACCAATCACCACCTCCACCCTTGCTCCTATTTTCCCTCCATCCTCACCTCCAGCTGCAAATGGTGATGGAGCTCCTCAGACCTAAAATTGAGCAGATCCACTCAGCTGCCTCTGTCTCCACCACACTCCTTCCCATCATCCTTCCTCCCAGCTTGTGGTCACCCCTCTTTTCACACCGTCAAACCCGTTTCCCCTATCTCTTTCCTCCTTCATCTCTCACATGAAACCCACCACCCACTTCCTTGATCCCATCCCCACACCACTCCTGGCCATCCACCTCACCCTTCTTTCTCCACAACATCAGAATTCTGCAGTTTATGTCCTCTCCCACACCAAATCCATGATCCCATCACCCCATCTTGCTCAGCTCTACTGGTACTCCATCCACCAGCAGTTCAAATTCAATATCTGCATCCTTGCTTTCACATCCCTCCACGCCTCTCCCCACCCTACCCTGCCTGTTCCACCTCCTTTCCCACCTGTTAGTAAACATCATAAACCTCTCTTTGTCCACCGGCAGAATCACACCCCTTTCAAAACAGCTGTCATCAACCCCCTTCTTAAAAAACCTTCCCTCGACCCATCCTTGTTCCCTGAGTAACTAACCATCTCCAACCTGCCTTTCCTTTTGAAACTAGTGGAATGAGTCATTGCTTCCCAGCTTCGCTCTTTCTCGGCACTCATTGCAGAAACTCCTCCAACCCTACCCACAGAGATTGCCCTGGTGAAAGTCGCTTACGATATTCTCTCTACCTGTGAGCAGGGCTCTTTCATTGATTGGCTTCTCCTTTCCTGCATTATCACGTGTGGTATTCCTCAGGGCTCCTTTTTAAAACAGTGGAATCCGCTTTAGCTGGACCCTGGTTAACAAACAGCTCTACACCTGTCAATCATTTGAACAAATCGCCCGGCCTCAATTCATGGTATTCTTACCTGTTTTAAATTTGCCGGTTGATTAGGACAAAAATCTGGTTAATCCAGACAGATTGCCGCACTGGTCACCACTGAAAGTACTCACTTGGGCCTTCTGTGTCTCGAGCGATTCCATTCAGCCACGAGCGGCTCAAGGATGGAGATGGGCAGAGTCTAAGATTGATTGACAGCAGATTCCAGCCATTCACAAGCGGCTGGAGTTGGGCTGTCAATCAGTGAGGGGTGGGGGGGAGCAACAGAGAATAAACAAGGGAGGGATCGACAGCTGAGTCGCTTGTGAATGGCTGGAGCCCAACCTTCACAAGTGGATCCAAGGCTCTCAATCACCTCAGCACAACCACTAATTGGTCCCCTTCCCATCTAATGGGAATGGCAATGGGAGTGAGGCTGTGCTGCTGCTGGGTGGGAAGGTATTTTCCAGCAACACCAAGCTTAATATGTTTTACTGAATCCTGTGAGGTTATTTTAACTTTGTAACTCCCAGGTTAAAATACTCAGTGTCCTGTTTGGTCAGGTAATATTGCTTCAAATGAAACAACATTATTACATATTATTATAACATGTCGACGGGGCTACTCTGCTGGGCGAGAATGGTATTTCAGTTAACCTTGGACGCCTCTTAAGCCGGATAAAATGGCCGTCCTGATGTGTCTGGCTGAACCGGTTTCCACTGTATCTACATGCTCCAGCCCGGTGATGTCAACAACATCATGGAGTTAACTTTCACATGTATGCAATGACATCCAACTCTATCTCTCTGCCTCACACTTGATTCTTGGACCACTGATGTTTTGACCAACCTCAAGTCCTAGATAAGCTCCACCTTTCTTCAGTCAAACATCAACAAGACAGAAGCTTTCCTTTTTGGCACCTGTCAACCCCTCCTCACCTCAGCATCAAACTATTTGGAATCACACTTCACCTCATGGAGCCTGTGTGGAACTTTGATGTTTAGTTCGAATCTGTCCTTTAAACCTCACATCTGTGCTCTAACCCCCTCACCCTTCCCCACCTCCGTCAACCTTCACCAATATCACCTTTACCCTCAGGTCACTGAGAACTTAATCCAATCAGTCATTACATCCAGGTCAGGTTATGCCAACTATCTGTTCTCCAGACTACCCGCCTCTTTCCTTCACAAGATGGAGACTAACCAGAACTCTGCAGCTTGTGTGCTTTCCCGCACATCAAACCTTGCCCGGCTCCGCAAGCTCCGCATCCCTCAGTTGATCGAGTTCAAGATCCTCGTCCTAACTTTAAATCTCTCCTTGTCTTGCCCCATGCTGGAGCTGGATAAAATTGGATTCACTTCATGGCTGTTCATGATATATTGCTGTTGTGCAAATTGGCTGCCGCATTCGTCGACAAGATAATAATAATAATCCTTACATTTGATATATATAGCACCTTATCACATCTGTGAGACGTCTCAAAGCACTTCACAGAATATACTGTAAAGTGAATTGACTGTATATTTTGTGGGTGAAACACAGCAGCCAATTGTGCATAGCAGTGTCCCACAAACAGTTGTGGATTGAGTGACCATATTATTATTATTATTGTTTTTTTAAGAGATTGTTACCCCTGGAAAAGCAATCTGCCAATCAACTAACAACTGGGCTCCTGCTAGGTAAACAGAGGTGTGTGGAGTAAAGAAACTTGCCATGTTTCACCCTGCCAGGGAATTGAAGCCAGGTCCGATACACAGTCACTACATTTTGCAGTAAAATCCTGTGAAGCATTTTGAGACATTATCTAACATATAAAGCAATGAACCATTAGATTAGAAGTGCTGGCACGAGGATAGTTTCAATGAATTGAGTGTACTTTTGTGCTTTAATTGTGTATGTAGGTAGAAGTGCAAACATGTACAGATTGAAAGCACTGCTAGAAAACTCAAAATGATGGAAACGCAACAAGTTGATCATATCTGGAAGATTAATATTTTGGTTGAAACTCAGCACTGAATAGATGACACACAGCAACACACACACTAAAATGTACCATACAATCAAACCAAAAATGTCAATAATAATGATAATCCTTGCATTTCATATAGCGTCTTATCACTTTGTTGAGACATCTGTAAGCGCTTCACAGAATATACTGTAAAATGAATTGACTTTTTTTTTGGCAAAAATGCAGTAGCCGCTTCACTGTCATCCACAAATCCTGATGAAACCTGGTGCCCAGACTGACATTCTCAGATACTTGTCGACCTGCTCTGTATTTCCATCACTTTCTTCTTTTTGTATTTGATTATCAACTGAATCATGAATTATGCACACACTGCGTAGCTGAAATATTCTAATAAATGCGTGCAATGTCTGTGCTTCTGTGTTGGACCAAGACACAATGGTCCAGTGTTTATTATGGTTGATCGTGTTAACCTAACTCAAGCAAGTCTGACAAGGTCCATTGTTGGTTGAATGGAACTGTTGAAATAGGCTTTGTAGGAAGTTGCTAGGTCAGCTGTGAACAGATATACAGAACCACATTTTCTGCTGTGAATTTAATCCCATTGTGCATTAATTACAAGGAAAGTTAAAGCTGAGCTTTCAGTGAGGTGACCACATAGCACGCAACATTGAATACGCCTCCCAAGCCGCTTTGGGAAATGAGTATCAATTAAAGACTGTTCCAAGAGGAAATGACACACCATTTGATGGCTTAGTTATGTAATATGCTCATTTAAAATTAATCCAAATTGGAAAACATTAGCAATATTTAATTTCGAAAACAATACTCTAAGCAACATTGTTTAAAAATGTGATTTCAACCACAAAATGTAAATTCTTCTATAAATTTCCACAACCTTGTCATGTAAGTTACTGCTTTTGTATTTTTCTGGCAGCTGTGTCAGTACGCTTATCTATGTCCCTTTGTCCTGATTTTTGGAGTGCTGAGTCACTTGAGTATGACAAGGGATGTGTTTGTCCTTGAAGTTTGAGTTGCCTGAGATGTTCTTTTCCATGTAATGCTTGGGCTGGGATTCTTAAGAAATGCATTAACATGCAGTTAGCACACATGAAAAATACAATTAAAACCCAATAAAATGGCATTGTTTCCCAGTATGATGAAGGCAGGGCAAAATGTTGGGCAAGTTTCTTTACTCCACACTCCTTTGTTTACCAAGCAGTAAGTAGGAATCCGGTTGTTCGTCGATTGGAGGATCGCTTTTCTGGGGGAAATAATCCCTTAAAAAAAAAATAATAATTTGATCACTCAATCCAGGATTGCTTGTGAGACACTGCTGTGCGCAATTGGCTGCTGCGTTTTGCCCACAAAATACAGTCAATTCCCTTTACAGTATATTCTGTGAAGCACTTTGACACGTCTCCGAAGACGTGATAAGGCGCTATATCAATTACAAGGATTATTATTATTATTAAGGTCACAATATAAATGCAAGTTGTTGTTGTTGTTCCTGCTTCTTTCACTACTGATCTGTGCTCCTAATCTTTTCGTGTAATAACATACAAGTGTAAAACACTCTCCCAGCTTCCAATTGCATTCCACTTGTCACCTTTATAAAAAGCTACATTAACTATGATTTGTTGGTCCTTTCAGTAGCTAAGTGATGGATCACCTGGTGAGTACAATAGTTGATCCATGTAAGTCAGGAAACTTCCACGTTTCATCCTCCATCTATTCTGAGTTAGCTGATGGGAATTAGCCCCTACACCCAGGTTAGGGATGAGAAAACCAGCCAGGGTTCCTGCTCCTGATTGCAATCCGGTAACTGTTGCTGGAGATGTGATTCTATGTATGGGCGTTTGGTGAGGATAGGATTGGGACGTCCTCCTGACGTAAAACGCGCAATACAGATGTAATTTGTTGTTGTTGATTGACATTAGCTTTAATGGTCCCAACATTGAAATAGCTGGACAACATCTTAAGCGGCAACAGTGAAACCTGATGCAGGAGAAGGCAAGGACTGCAAAGTTTTGAATGGTCCGCAGCTCGTGTAGGGAGAAATTGGGGAGTGCGGCAAGGAGAGAACTGAAATATTAAGCCGGAATGTGAAGAAGTTGTTAATAAGCCCACGGGAAGGGGTAGTGGCGGAGGTAGGCAATAATGTAGGGGTGAGGGAAGTGCTCTCAATGGCAAGCTATGTGGTTTTAGCTGGTTAGTCTCCATCAGTACCCCAACAAAGAAGAATGTACATTTTGTGCTTGAAATCACATTTTTAAACAATGTTGCTTCGAGTATTGTTTTAGAAATGGGTTCTAAATATTGCTAATTTTTCCCAATTTGGATTAATTTGGGATCCCCAAGCCTTAGCTCTTGCCATCCTGTGATGTAATGTTTGTAAATCCAAAACGTAGTTTAGATTCACTAGTTCCTTTATTTAAACCTTACACTTCCACTCTCTTCCACAATCTGCCCAGTTAATTTTCCAGAATCCTTTTATGCTTACTTGCTTTTCATTGTCAATATCCAATTGCCAATTAAGTCATTAAAGCAATATGCAACACCTAATACTTTCCAGATTTAGGTAAACGGATACGTCTCTCCAATGAGAAAGTACACATTCCATTCCAACAATTTATCTCTGGGATTTCCATGTGTAGGCGGGTTGCATGGAATCTCAGCATGGTTTGGAGACTCTTAAACTGGGGATGGGTTTCTGCATATATCAGACACCCGGCTGACCAAACAAAAAGTTATTTTTTAAAAAAATTGTTTGGTGACAATGGCAAATATAACTTTTTAAATATAAAACATGAGACATGGAATGCCTTTCTCAGCTAATTACTCAAATTATTTTGCAGTTGTCATTTCACCTTATAAAGGCTGTTTGAAAGCTGCTTGATTAGTCATTTTAAGCAGGGTATAAACTTTAATAAAGGGTTATATCTATCCTACAATTTCAGAATAACCTGAAATTGTAGGATAGAAAGTTGTCAAATTTCAATTTAACGTTGGATTCCAAGAGCAACATAAAAGATGTGTTTACAAGGTGACTTTGACTTTTTATGCCACCAGTCCTTTTGTGTGTATATCACAGCTCCAGTCTCTACTTCTGGGCTCTCATGAGCACGGCTTTCCCTCACCCCTACAATATTGCCTACCTCCGCCACTACCCCTTCCTCCGGCCTTCCCCAACTTCTCCTTACCCGAGCTGTAGACCATTCAAAACTCTGCAGCCATTGCCCTCTCCTGCATCATGCTTCACAAGCCCATCACCTCCATCTTTACTCGTCTACATTGGCTCCCCATACCCCAGCAGATCAAATTCAAGATCTTTGTGCTCACTTTTAAATTCCTCCATGGCTCAGCCCTCCGTACCTTTGTCACTTGACTACCACAGCCACACTCTCAGCAAACATCCGGCTGCTTCATGTCCCTCACCCCAGCCAACAGCTAATCTTCTCCCAATCTCTGGACCTTCATCAGTCTTTAACTCATGCCTTCTCTCGCTGTTTTCAAAACCTATAAGACCTATCTTTTTGATTGCACTTTTGGCCACCAGCCCATCCCCTCCTCAGCACCTCCCCCTCCCCCCAGCTTAGACTACCAGTCAATTGTGTGAAAGCACTGTATACATACAAATTGTTGTTGTTGATTTTGTGTTCATCATGTGATACTGCTTGCACAGCCATTCATATTTCTCTTTCTTAAAGGTGGCAGCCAGTGATCCAGAGTCTCATTGATTCTTTAGCCAACATAGTTAACAATGTGGCTATTCAAATAAAGGAGCCCAAACGGACAATACCAGTGGAGTTCAACCTGACAAAACCGAAGCCCCGAGCAATTCCAATGCCTGAGAAGATTCCAATGCTGGAGCTTCAAACAAAGGTGAGTCTGACTGCTTCTCATAAGTCTACAGTGAGGAGAGGAAGGTAAAGAGAAATACGTTACTACCTTTTTAATACACTAATTTTTTTTCTCCTCTTTTCCTTTCCCTGCATGAGCATATAATAACATAATAAGACAATAATTAAGCAATTAATGTTTACAGCAAATTTCATGAAGCAGGCCCAAGTTTGCCGAGTGGAGAGGATAAGCAGAAGAGTGGAGATAGAGAGGTGCTAGGGTGTGAGGGTGAAGAATAAGAATAATAATCCTTGCAATTGTTATAGTGCCTCATCAAGTTGAGACGTCTCGAATCGCTTCATAAAATATACTGTGAATATACTGTAAAGTGAATTGATTGGATGAATACCTTGAATCCAATCATTTGGAGCTTGCTGTGGTCATTTGAGCCAGAGCTTGTAATTAGTGGAGTTAGGGAGATGAGTGAGGAGTTTGTTAGAGACGTTGAACACTTAGGCAAGCTACTTGAGAGTGGCTGGTACTTTCCAACTGTACTGCAGTGTCCATCATTGTTTTGAGAAATGGAGAAAGAGAAAAAATTGGAAGGAATAAAGTTAAAGTCTTTAAAGTCAATAAAGTCAGTCTTTAAAAACTGACTGATCCATGGGTTGGATGTATTCTGGTTATGTTATCAAATAATAAAATAATAATAATTTGGTCACTCAATCCACGACTGTTTGTGGGACACTGCTGTGTGCAATTTGCTCCCGTGTTTTGCCCACAAAATATAGTCAATTCAATTTACAGTATGTTCTTTGAAGGGCTTTGAGATGACTCGAACACGTGATAAGGTGCTATATCAAATGCAAAGATTATTATTATAATTTTTATGTGGCTCCAAGAATTGAGAACATAAGAATTCCTAGACAAAAGAAGACCAAGGTCCACCCAGTTCCACCATCCTGGCAGTCGCATGCACATGTCATGTCCCAAACTATATACTGTATCCTGAGATATTATTTCTTAACAGAAATCTATCTAATTTGTTCTTGAAAGATTTGCTTTGAATTAATTATTAGCAAAATTAAAAACAAGGATTCTGAGACCACTGCTCCCGCCCCTCCCCTCCCTCCCACCCGCCCCCCACACACACAGATACACACACACATACGCACACACATACACACAGTAGCAACTTAATACAATTTAGGAGGGTAACTAGTTGTATTTTCTATGACCTTGAAAGCCCTGAAACAGATGCACTGAAGACTACTGCTCACAAATCTCACTGTTCTGGCACAGTGTTATCAGTGCAACATAAATTCTTTGCTATGACAGAATGTGCAATTTGAAATCACTTTGTTCCTGTGCGAATGGAGGCCAACTCCTACTGAACAAAGTAAATGCACAATCCGCCAGTCTCAACGCTCCTCTTCCTGATCAAAACCCAAAGCTGTTGGAAAAATTCCATGCTGTTACCATATGCTAGCTGCTGTGATAGCCTGCGGATACAGAATGTCAGAATAACGGGAGGCATTTTCACAGGAAATATCAAGCATTGCAGATATTTTCAGTGTGCATCCACTGTTCATTCAATTTTACAATTCTGATCATTTTCACTTAAATCAATCCCCTTTATTATCATTGAATGGAATTGTGCTCTATATTGTAAAGTTAATATATTTATTAACTCATTAACACTCTGGATGGCATCTGCATTTCAGGTGCCAACCTAGCCCAGCTGGTACCATTCTTGTGGAGTCCTGTAGCTCAGTGGTTAGAGTACTTGCCTCGCAAGTGAGAGACCTGGGTTCGATTCCCAGAAGGGCGAAACGTTGAAAAGTTTTCTTACTCGCACGCCTCTGTTTATCTAGCAGTAAGTAGAAACCTGGTTGTTAGTCGATTGGCGGATCGCTTTCTGGGGATAATAATTCCTGCAAAAAAAAATTGGTTACTTAATCCACGACTGTTTATGAGACACTGCTGTGTGCAATTGGCTGCCATGATTCGCCCACAAAATATACAGTCAATTCACTTCACAGTATATTTTGTGAAGCGCCTTGAGACGTCTCGAAGACATGATAAGGCGCTATATCAAATGCAAGGATTATTATTATTGTGTCAGGACTTTGAGCTAATAGTCTAGGCCAGTGGTGGCCAACCTTTTTGTTTGGCCAACAAAATAATCATAGTAACAACAAAATAGTATGGATTTATGTATAAATCAATCATTCAATCAAGAAGCATGTGTTGTTGGTCAACCAAGATTGGCCACCATTGGGTTAGGCTGATGCTTCAGTGCAGTGTTGAGGAGCACTGCATTGTCAGAGATGCTGTCCTTTGGATTTGGTGTTGAGATCCCAAGTACCTGTTTGGTTGACGTATCTGTGGAACTATTTGAAAAGAGAAGGGATTTTCTCCTGGTGTTCAAGCCAACAATCTTCCAGGCTAAAATCAAAATTGGTCATTCATTTCTTGGCTAATATGAGACCTTATGGTGCGCAATTTGACTGCTGCTTTTGCCTACAATTAGAGTCATTACACTTTACAGAAAAATTCAATGAAGCACTTTTTCACTTGCTAAGGTGCTATATCAGATGCAACAATTATTATGAATAGGATATTGAACTAATCATTATCTTGTGGTTTGACTTCAATGCAGTGGTATTCTCATTAGACAGAATCGGTTGTACAGGCAGCTGCTGCCTTTAATAAGGAAAATAAGCAGAAAACCACATTGGAGAGAATGAATGCTGATGAACCATGTGGAAAGGGAAAAAAATCATTAAATTAAATCTGTAAAGTTCTACATAGTCCACTATCCTGTGGGATCCTGTGTCATTCAGAATTTGTCTCCAGTATTGAAAGAAGTAATTACTGTTAAGGAAAATGAAGAATATAAATGCATGAGATATCTGTCAGAGAATTAAAGGTTTTAATACGCCTGATAATAATCCCTCAAGAAAAAAAACAATAATAATTTGGTCACTTCAATTAACAACTGTTTGTGGGACACTGCTGTGCATAATTGGTTGCTGCGTTTCGCCCACAAAAATGCCGTCAATTCACTTTACAGTATATTCTGTGAAGCGTTTTGAGACGTCTAGAAGACTTGAAAAGCCCTATATTAAATTCAAGGATTATTATTATTTAATCTAATCTATGGGTTCACCTGATGAATAGCTCACAGTTATGGCACCATCTGAATTGAACCCCTCAATCGGATTATTGCTTTGCAGCACACAGATGGCGGTTGTCTTACCTATATGATTGATTCCTCAAGCTGTGGTACGTTGGCCAATGTGGCAAAGCATCATAACTAGTATTAATATATTCTACGAGCCCTGTCGTAGTGGTTGGGATAGCAAGTGCCCCATTATTTATTATGAACTTCCCTTCTTACGAGGGATTCTTGTCCCTCTTATCTTGTGATTTAGAAATGTGCCTTACTAACAATTGGTTGTAGTAATATTGTTTTTCAGAACCACAATCATTCCTTTATATTTACTAGATTCAGCATTGGCTCCAGCTACACTTCCAGTTTCATAGAAGTATTGCACCCTGGTGTAGTCTTGTTTTGATTAATCCAAATAAATGTATTTACATGGAAAAGACATTAAATGAACTCAGTCAGAAATAATACACAGACCATAAAGTACAATTAACAAGGAAAGCAAAAGAGTCTTAATTTAAAGTTGCAGCTGGTTCAAGTGTAGCATTTCTTGAAGATGGTTTCCTGAAGATTTGCAAATCACCTTGTCATCTTGCAAACCAGCTAAAAATCACAAGGAGTGAGCCATTTTTTTTCTTGTAATCTTAGGCTGACTGAAGAGCAGCGAGAGACCTGAGTTCAATTCCAGGCAGGGCGAAACCTTGGGCAAGTTTCCTTACTCCACACAGAGCCTAATAATAATCCCTCCAAAACCTAAACCAAAAATAAATTGGTCATTTTCAATCTACGACTGTTTGTGGGACATTGCTGTGCGCAATTGGCTGCCGCATTCGCCCACAAATATACAGTCAATTCACTTTACAGTGTGTTCTGTGAAGCCCTTTGGGACGTCCTCCTGACGTGAAAAGCGCTATATCAAATGCAAGGATTATTATTATTATTATTATTATTAGAATCATTCTACTTTTACCTTAAAAAAAACTTTTTTTGATCTGAATGAAGCAGATTTTATGCAGATTGGAATTCTAAAGTTGCTGATTACACCAAACCAAGTGGGGATCTGAGGTGTAAGAAGAGAGATTTTTTTAAATGTAAGCTCAGCTACTGGCCAGGGAGCCACACATGGCATTTAATATTAAGAAATGCAACGTTATACTGTAGTTGCAGTGAATTGGTTCTAAAGTGGCCTATTTTCCAATACTTATTTTAATTAGTTAGGCTCAGATCCCAGCCTCAATATTATTTCAGGGGCAGACACCCATATGAATGCTTGAGCAACTTTCTGCTCACTGGTTTGGGTTTTATTTGCAATTTAATTCAAATCAAAGATTTTCACCACATGTGGGCATTTGCTTACTTATACCACCACCAATAATGATGCTAAAAATGGGCAATGATTACACAGCGTAAAGTTTGTAAAATGGAACTGAAAAAGATTTCTGTGTGATCATTGAGCAGTTGTCAAGACAAATTGTACATTAGGAACCTCGGAACAGGGGGAGGATATTCAGGCCTGTTATGACCTAGTTGAATGTTTGAGTAAGTTGTTGTTTTTATGACAGTTTATTAAATCACGGAAGATCTTTTATTGCCATTTCTCTGCTTTTTTCTCCAAACCTCTTAATACTCTTACTTTTCAAATATCTAGCTCCCTTCTGAACCTCCCAATTGATACTGTTGCTTTTACAACATTTTGGAATAGTTCTTTCCACATTCTCACAACCTTTGTGGGAAGAAATGTTTTCTGATTTCTCTCCTAATTGCCTTAGCTCTAATGTGAAGATGGCTTCCCTTGCCAAGACACTACCAGAGGAAAGAGTCTTACACTTGTCAGCTCATGTTACACATTCAAATTTACATGTTCAAATCC